CCTTGCACCGCGCCCGGCACCCACCCGCGCAGCGGCCCGCGGAGGAAAATAAAATGTTTGCCGCTTATGATTTCCAATTTCAGCGTCTGGCTAATGGCGTGCAAACTTCCGCCAGTTCCGAGTGACCTCCCCGACGAAGCCCCCTGGAGACTCGTATTATGAAGGGAGGCTGCACTAATCTAAGATCAAAAGCGGGAAGGTGCGAACAGTCTTTGTCTCCCTCCCTTCGGCCCATTCCCCCTTCTGTGTGTGATAAATCTACCCTGGCGCCGACTGCGCGCTGGATGATTAATTTGCAAGCAAACAAAAGGGACCTGATGGCCAGCCATCTTAGTTAAATATTGGCCAGTGCTTCCAGCTACTTGTTAGCCGCCTCTTTGCCAGAAATAAATAAATAAGCGAGACGCAGAAATAAATAAATAAGGAGGCCCGCAGAGATGAATGGCAAAGGGAAGGGGTGGAAGGGGGGGGGGGTTAAAGAAAAAGAAAAAAAAGAAGAGGAGATCAGAGCGGCTGATGGCGGAGGGCCGGGAGCGGGGTGGAGGTGGGGATGGGGCTGGTGGCGGGGGGAGGCAGGGTGATAGCACGCTGAGATAGCCGGCTGCCCCCGCCCCTCCCGGCCCGTCTGCAGGCTGGGCTGCACCAAGGCCGACACTATCTTGGCTCTTCAAAGAGGCATGAAAGGTCTCCGCTGTCTCCCCAGAGAGCGGCCAGGCCGGGGCTCTCTAATCTCGGAGCGCAAAGAGCTAAAGGCCGGGGCGGGGGGAGCGGCTCCCACCTTTCCCAGCTCTCCTCCGCTCCCTGATGCCGCTGTCGCCAGCACCTCGCCGGCTTTTCCCCGGATCAACCCAGGCAGGAGGGAAAGCGGAGCTGGCCAGACCCTGGGCCTTTGGTGGTTGAGCGGCTGGGAGAGCCCTGCTTGCTCAGATTTCACCCTCCTAAGCAACTTTTAGCGTTTGCACGAGAGCTCGGGGCATGCAGCGAGCCTGCCCCGTGCGTGTGTGTTGGAGGTGTGGGAGGAGAGAGGCTCTGGCTCTCTCCCGGTGGCCTGAAGAGCCAGCTGGAGGAAGGAGGCAAGAGGAAAATAAAGGCAGCCCGGTTTTTGGGCCCACACGTCTTCTCCCAGGCCTGCGGGAGCAGCTCCGAGGCACGCGCGTGTGTGTGGAGGGGCTGTGTGGGTGCTACACGGCCTGTGTGTGTGTACGTGGAGATGTTGTGTGGGTGCGTGTGACTGGGAGGGATTCGTGCCCTGGGGTACACTGCAAATCCCTGCTCCATCAGCAAAACCTGAGGCGTCCCTTGCACCCCTGCATGTGCTGGGTGCTCTGCAGGAGACAACAAGCCCTGGTGCATGGTGAACAGGGCCAACATGCACAATGTAAGTGGGGTTTTGCATCCTATCTATGCATTTCCTTATCGTGCTGCCGGTCCCAAGCAACCCCAGGGGCCCAGACCCATCCTGCTTGCCAGCTGCCCCGCACCCTGCAGGATTCATCCCTCTCCTCCCTCCCTTCCTTTCCCCCGGCGTTGCAGCCTCCGCTCCATCTCCAGCCCTTCGGAAGGCAACACCCCACCGTGGCCGCGCTGTGTTTATCCGAAATAAAACGCAGCGGGCTGGTTTACTTTGGCAGCTTTGCAGTAAATACTGGCTGGAGCGCGGGGGGCGTCTGGTGAGCGGCGATTACACGCTTCTTCCGAGAGAAACTCTTGCCTGCCCTGTGCAGGCCCTTCCCCAGCCCAGCAAAAGGTGTCAGTAAATGCGGGCCATGTTGACACAGCTCCATCCCAGAGTAGCACTGCAGGCCACAAGTGTAATGAAGCGGGTCCCTTAGGGAGCTAGTCTATACACTCGGACTATATAAACTGCTACGGGGAGAGGGGGGGGTCAGTACTGCAGCTCTTTGCCTTTCCCTTTGGCAGAGCCCTTCCTCCAATTGCCAGTTGAATTTCAAGGAAAGCCTGGCCTAAAAACTGCAAAATAACCTGCCTGGGTCCAAAAAAGCATGGCGAGGCATTAGAAATAGCAAGAAGAAAAAAATCCACATCTCCCTCTGAGCAGGCTGGGCCCCATCGTGTCCCACCGCAATCAAAGGGGCTGTTCCCATCTCTCCGAACAGAAGTAGAGGGGGGGAGTAGGGGGGTCAGGTCCCCTTCCCAGCGCAGCTGAGCTCAGGGCTTTGCAGGGCCAGGGGGAGCCCAGAGCCAGCGTTACACATGCCTTGTTGGAGCACCGGGGAAGAAAGAGAGGAAAGCAGCAGTTG